CTTCCTTCCTTCCTTCCTTCCTTCCTTCCTTCCTTCCTTCCTTCCTTCCTTCCTTCCTTCCTTCTTTCCTTCCTTCCCTTCCTTCCTTCCTTGACTGCTCAGAAATACTCTAATTGAAGGTCACAAACAGAGAATATCTCCCATTATTTGTTATTGTGGGCCTTAACCCTTAAGTAAATATGCCATGCTAAGCACCTGCCTATACTTGCCTAAAGCCACCCAATATTAAAAATTTTCCCCCACAGGTAAGGAATATTAGGAGACTAAAACCATCCCTTTTCTTATAGCCTAAAATTTATAAGGACAACATTATTTTCTGGCCTTATTATTGAAGCAGAAGAGGACTTTTCAAATTTTATGCTGAGATCATTTTCTACTGGCTCAATAACTTTAATGTGTTTGCCTGTTTGTACACTTTATTTCATTGTCCAATTGTTCATACTTTGATCAGTCATGGAGTGTTAGCAATATTTTTTTTTAAAAAAGCATATTCTGGGGAATGGGGATTTCCTGTTTTCTTTCACCTAGGCTCTTAAAAGATGTATTTTCCCAAATCAAGAATAAGTAGAGGCAGTGCAACTTCCTATCCTGGGGGAACTCTTTCACCTGTGAGAATAACCATAAACTCAAGTACAGGGCATATGAGAATGCCACATCATACATACAATAGAAGAGCATTCTAAAACTATCAAAGTAAGTACGGTAAGCAGAATATTACTCTTTGGTCTCCTCCTTAGAGGAGATGATCCATAAAGCATCCAGAATTGATTCTGTTTAAAATCAAGTCTGAACTCAGACTGAAAAATAAAGATAATTGGTATCCTCCAATACCAACTGGAAGGGCATAGATATTCCTCCTCTCAACCTTATCCGTCAAAGAGATTTGTTGCTAGGCAGTATAATGTTCTGGCCATTTCAGTAATGGCATATTACTATTTCCTTCAAGGCTAGTGACATTGTACCAAAATGTCTATATGCATCCTTCTCTCTCTGATGTCTCATGAACCCTTGGATAAAACAAAGAAACAGGGATGGAGAACAGATGCTTCTAGTTCCATTTTTGAACAAACCATGATGTTCTAAACTTCTGAATTTATCTAAATCAGACATTCAGGAGGTCTGATACTGCCTTTCAATCCTCAATCTTTTTCAACAACCTGTCTCAATTGCTTGCATGCATTTATTCA